ATACAAAATAACAACAAAAATATATAATTGAACAAGGATTTATGAGGGTTGGAGGGTGGCAGAGGGAGGGGAAAAAAGAGGAGCTGAAACCAAGGGCTCAAGTAGAAAGAAAATGTTTTGGAAATGATGGCAACAAATGTACAAATGTGCTTGATACAATTGATGTCTGGATTGTGATAAGAGCTCTAAGAGCCCCCAATGAAATGATTTATTAAAAATAGAGAAAATTCCATGATCTTTTAATTATTTCCACAACCTTTGTGAAGTCCCCTTGTATATGATATACTGATACACAAGAATCGCCTTTTAATATTGAAATCGATGACCTGTGTTTTCATGGGAAATCACTGATTTAAACTTGCTATATATTAAATGTGTCATATATTTTGTGTATTCGTGTGTTTTGCTATTTACAAGCCTATGTAAAAATGAAGTATCTCATTTGTGAACCTCGTGCCAATTAAGCCTATAATTAAAAGCTATCTCGCCAATTTTGTGTGTGAATATAGTGTCATTTTTCTATCACAGTAAGGTGTGAAACCAGAGGTCGGAGTGGTCTTTGGAAAGAAAGTTTTAATTCTACTGACTTACTCTAACTAACTCTCATGGAGTCAGTGCCAACTCATAGCGACTCCCTGTGGGTTTCCTAGACTGTAACTGTTTACAGGACTAGTGGAGAGGCCAGTCTTTCTCCTGAGGAGCTGCTGGAGGGTTTGAACTTCCCACCATGCAGATCGCAGCCCAACACGTAATGACTCCAGAACCAGGGCTCCAGTGGGGTGCAAGCGGTTAACCTGCCCAGCTGCTTGTCAAAAGCATGGAGGCTCCAGGCCACCCAGAGGCACTCAGAAAGATCAGGCGATCTGCTTCTGAAAAAAACCTGCCTTCTCTCCCCTGCTTGGGAGTAACCACTGGGGTGGTAAAAGCTTGTGAGCAGCCAGCTACCGTGCAACCATGGGTCTCTCCCCATCCAGAGGAGGGAAGAAAAATGAAAATCAAGAGGCGTATGGAAACTGTCCAGTGGACGCGTGGACCATGAAAACATCAGCCTCCCCTGCCTGAGGTGGATGGGAAGAACTCATTGGTCCCTGACGACCACTACCAGCGCTTTGAAAAGGGTCACATCAGAAGGTCCTGGGTAGGGGGGGAGGAACATGTGGAACAGAACTCAAAATCATAAAAAAGAGACCAGGCTTGCTGGTCAGAGAGAGACAGGTGGGACCCCTGAAACCAATGGCCATCAACCACCCTTCAGGTTGGGAACAGAAACCACCCATTTGAGAGATATAGAATCATCACCATATTACAGTCAAAAGTGCAACATTGACCCAAGGACAAAGTTCAGAGGGTTGGGAAAGATAGAAGAATGGAAACAGGAGCCACAGGGTGAAAGATGCAAATATTAAAAAAAAAAAAAGTTACTCAACCCAGTTGGATTTGTCTCCATGGCAACCTTTAGACTTGAACCACCAACCTTTGGATTCGTAGTTGAGCGTGAACTGTTTGCTCCACCCAGAGACCTGCCAGTTACAAGGTTATTCCTTATTTGCTTGTCAATCCTGTATTCCATTATAGTCATTGAAACAAACACAAGTTTGAAAGCTGTTTCCTCACCTATGCAAACCACAGTGAAGCACTGACTGTTCAGAGGCTGAAGGAACTAACCTTGAGATGAAGACTTAGGATACAGGACTAACCACCCCCCCAAACAAACTCACTTCCGTTGAGTCAGTGCTGACTCTTAGTGAGTCCCTGCGGGTCTATGAGAGCGGAAAGCCCAGCCTTTCTCCTGCAGAGCTGCTGGTGATTCCGAACTGCCTACCACGTGGGTCGTAGTCTAGTGCACAGCCACTATACCACCGGGGCTCCTTAGGACTAACACAGAGAAGGGAATGCAGCCCCTCACACTGGAGCCGGAGAGTAAAGCTGGATGGAAAGGGCACGTCATTGTGGAGCAGGACAAAAATCAAATTGGGAAGGGAGGATGTGCTAAAACCAACCCTTTTGCAGGGAGCCGATTGAAACGCATAGTGACCCTGTCTCACACAGTAGAACTCACTAATTGCTCCTTAGAGCTTCTGAGACTATCATCTGTACAGGAGCAGAAGCTTCATCTTGCTCTCCAAGAGTGCTGGTGGGTTCGAACCACTAACCTAGAGGTTAGCCCAACTCTTAACGCACTGCACCACCAGGGGTAGATTCCGAGTCTTTGGGACCTTATATTGATTTTTCTTTAAAGACTATAAATCTTTAAGGGAGTAAATAACCTCATCTTTAGCCCTCAGAGTGGCTGGGGTAGGTTTGAACCTCTGAACCTTCCTGTTAGCAACTCAAAGCCTGAACTACAGAGCCACCAGGGATCGAATGAAATACAGGACAGGATATAGTTTAAAAAAAAGTCCAGAACAAATCCATTGTTGAGTCCGTAACGATTTAGGGTGACACTGCAGAGGAAAAAAAATAGGTGCTAAGAGTGGGAGTTCAGCAGGTGGCGCCGAGCGAGCAATTTCCGAAAACAAGGAGCGGAGCGGAGCCTGGAGCCTTCTGGTTGAGCCTCCTCTGCACGCTGCGCCTGCACCTAAGGGCCCCGTTACTATGATTTCTCGCTTTTGCCCAGGTGGCCGCCAGGAGGCGCTGTCACATTCGGGCCGAGCTCTAAAGAGCTTTTGCTCCGGTCCGAGCGTGGGAAAAGAATCACTTCCGGCGACGGCGCTACGTCACTTCCTCTCAAGGCCCGCGTCGGGCCGGGTAGCATCCGCGCGGGTTCAACATGCGTATAGAGAAGTGTTATTTCTGCTCCGGGCCCATCTACCCCGGCCACGGCATGATGTTCGTGCGCAACGACTGCAAGGTGAGGTGCTGGGGGCCGCGCGCCGCGCTCCCGAGAGCCCGTGCGGGGGCCCCCCGCCGGCTCCGGGCTCCTCCGCGCCGCGGGCTCGTCCGGAAGAGGTGGCTTCGCGACGAACCCAGCTTAGACCGCCCCCTGGGCTCGGGGCTTCGGCCCCTTCTTGTCACTGAGTTTCAGAGTGAATTTGGCCGGCGTCAGTGGGGACCCGGCTGGGCCAGGTGCTTGAATGCAGGATTCTGTTGAGCGCTTGCCCAGCCAAGCATCATAGTTTGGCTTGTGTCCAGAGAGACAAACAAAACGTGGCCTGTACCCAGAGTGGAGGTTGACAGAAATGTCAGTAGAAGGTGTAATTATTACACTGCAATATTACACTGTAATAGCGCCATGTGTCAAGTGGTGGTGGGGGACACAGGTGAGGAGACGTCAAATGATTGGAGGAGACGCGATCTGGAGAATGGGATGTGAATAAACTGGGAAAGGTGACACGTATAAGACGGAGACGAGACTGCAGTTGGTGGAGGCGAAGTGAACAGGGAGAGCCGCACTGTGAAAGGCAGGGAGTACGTGATTAACATCCATCTCTCCGTTTGAGAAGCAGTGACCGGGTTGCAGTTGAACATAGAGCCTGGTATTAGGTGCGGGCACGTCGCTTGGGCTCAGCCACTTTATTATGCACAAGAGAACACCCACTCCCTGGGCCTGCGCCGTCCTGACAGTGTTGTGATGTTTGAGCCCAGAGCCGCTGGGTTAGCCCTCATCTCGTGAGGATGTTAAGGTTTTTTCACCGACCCTCCATTTTACCGAACAAAATGTCTCTTTTCAGAGCCTGGTTCCTCCTGAGAACCTGCCCAAAGTACATGAGATGACGTCTCACCAAATTTGCTTCTAAGGAGCATTCTGGCTCAACTTCTTCCAAGACCCGTTTGTTAGTTCTTTTTGTAGTTCTGTGGTCTGGTCAGTATTCTTCTTCAACACCTTAATTCACATATGTTAATTCTTCCACAGTTATTCTTATTCATCATCCAAGTTCCACATGCATAGGAGGTGATTGAAAATACTGTGGCTTGAGTCAGGCCTACCCAATCCTCAGGGTGATGTATTTACATTTTAACCTTTAAGGAGGCCTTGGGCGGCTGATTTGCCCAGTCAGATCTGTCATTTGATTTCTTCACTGTTGCCTCCGGGAGTGTTTGAGGATCCAAGTACAATGAAATCCTTGACAACTTGAATCTTTAACCCATTTATCCTGATATTGCTTAGTAGAGGCCAGGACACAAGCACAGTAGGGCTGTAAGATCTGGTTTTGAAGACAAAATGATAGATGAATTTGCTGTCTTTTAGCAGAGTGAATTCCATGTCGCTCGCTCTCTTTTTAATAGACACTTGACCTCTTACATTTGCTTCTGAAATCACTTGGTAAAAAAATTTAAAAACCTGGTTCCCACTAGATCTATTGAGTAGATCTTTTGAGAGTAAGGGAACAGGATTGGGGAAGCTGTATATTTATTAAATTGATTTTGATACACTAAGTAATCAAATTTCCTGTTTGAGTGCTTTATATATCGCTTGTAGTCTGAAGGCATTGGCTCTGTTAAATAAGGAGGGCGGCCTCCTGGGGAAAGTGAGCTATCAGAGCTGTGATAGTCAAAGAGTTGGTGGAAGATTTTGAGTACCTGCTGACATGAATGTAAGACATGTATGGGAAATGAACGAAAGGATTGCCAAGTTGTAATCAGTTTCAGTGAGCAAAATGGTTTTGGAGGTGATCTGGTCATCGAAATAGTATTGTTGCTCACCAGTGCTTTCCAGCTGGGTAGTGGAATTGGAACGCTACATTGTGGGACCTGTTGGGAGCTGAGTATTGATCCGGTAGGCACTTGGGAGGAGGTTCAAGATGAGGAGGTGTTGCTAGCCAGCTTGGTGGAATGAAAACTCACGAGTCCAAAGCAGCCTGTGAAGAAGAGCAGGTATCTCATTTTTCTGTATTCCAAATCTGAGTTTTAACTGGACAAGGGAATCCTGCTTGTAGGTACCACCGAGCCTGCTGGAATGCAGTGCCGTCCATTGCACCGAAGGGACAGCGGTGATGCTGCGAATGAAGCGCTGCTAGCCACCAAGTCACCAGCTCAACCTTCCATCTGACCCGGGAGAAAGACGGGGCTTTCTGATCCTGTAAAGAGTCACAGTTTGAGAGAGACCCTGTATAGGGTTGCTGCAAGTCAGAGTCTACTTGATGGCCATGGGTTTTTGTTTCTTGGAGGTTTTTTGGTATCCTTAGCACCCAGTATAAGTAACACCGGACACATTGGAGATGCTCTTTTATGCTGATTGAATCCCTGTCGCATCCTAAGTGATTCCAGTCTCTTGTGTGTTTTAGACATAACCTATTAGATATGGAGTTCAAACGGACTTCTCTAACCAAAAATAAAACCCCCTTTAACTCTGCCTGGAATTGAAGAGACCCAGGACAACATCACCTCTGACTTTCAGCTAGTCCTCAGACATGGGGTTCACC